AGTAAACATCTTGACAAATCTGACTAGACAAGGCACGAAACATAATATCATTTCTGGCTTACAAGGACATGAAAAAACTGATGAAATCCAGGCAAAATGTTAATATGAATAGATGTGGGGATTTTATTCTTCAATAGAAACTCGAAACCCCAACATTGCCATAATAATCTGATATTTAAAATCTGTGGGTGAGATGTTCAGACATCAAATGAAGCATGCATTGAAATACAAAAGAATCTATCCAGATTAAAGTTTGAAAAAAAACAAAAGGTAGAAGACAAAGTTTTTATCTTCAAACAAAATCCTTATGCAAACGGAATGAAAAGTGGAGAAAACTAACAAATGGGTTTCACAATTCAAACCCTACTGAAGCAATTAGTTCTGAGTTGGTAACTGGCTTTGGAAAAACTTGCCGCTCGGAAACTAAGTTAACAAAGATAACATCTTTAAAACTTCTTTTCAAAGCGAAGCATAACCCTACACTGTATCAGAGACTGATAGAAAACGTAAAGGCCTAGGGTAGCTTATCACATCAGTCTAAGTAAAACCAAAGGGCTTAGCTTCTTCAAATCTCAATCACAAACAACATAACAAATCTAAGATGCATAGCTGCACTCGAGAAAGCGAAATGGAGTTTGGGTTTACCTCGAGGAGAACCAGAGAATCAGAAACTCAGAGCGTTTTTCTGCTTCGAGTGACTGAAAACCGTGAAGAATAATGGCTTCGGCGGTGCAGAGAAACCCTAATGTTGGAATAAAAGAGCTTTAAGGGGATAGAATGGACGACCGGATGGCTTATTGTTACAACTGAACGGTTGAGATTAGCTGGATGCACTAAATGGTAAATCACCGGTCCGACAGTATTTTTTATTTGCCCTATATATTGCGATGTGAAATTGTGAAAGTAACTAGCACTCGGAAAATTTTCTTTTTTCCTTTTATTTTATTTTTTAATTTTTTTATTGATTCTTTCGTAAATTTTATAGGCACTATAGAAAGTGAAAGACATTGGCAATTCAAAAATAAATACAAATTGAAGGTAGAAGAACAATTACTCATGAAGAAAATTTATCTCATTTAATTCCCACACAAAAATATAATTTATCCTTATTAATCTCCTTAAAATGAAAATCATTCACCTCTAGCTTCATTTCCTCATTCAACGTACCTTATCAAATCCAATCCAATTCTATGCACCAAACGAGACTTAAGGTCTTCTAGTTTTGTATGTACAAAAGATAGACAACCGAAGATAGAAGATAGATGAAAAAACCGAAGATAGAAGATGGATGAAAAAAAATTTAACTCCATAACTTAATCATGTGAAATAATTAATAAATTTTGTTATAAAAGATAAACCAATGGTAAGAATAAGACCATGTACTCCATGATTTTATTAAGTGATGTTTAGAAGTGTAAAGAGCTCTACAAGATTTTTCAACTAAAGTTGTCCTCTTCCTTGGTTATTTCTCAATCGTGTCCTTCTAGTGTAGGTGGAAATTCAATTTCATCATAGCTATTTGATCCCCAAAATTTGTGATGAGAATAGTCAACATACTTCAGAGTTCTGTGCTGTGATGAAAAGCTTCTGACTAGTCAACTAAAATTAAATTTAGACTAACTAAATTTCTTGTTGGTGATCATGACAATTGTCATGCCTGGTAGTCTTTTTCCAGTCAGCTGAAATTTCTATTTTTCTTTTCTACTAAATAAGCCAGATTTCAATCTATGTATTAATTATGAAGAAGAAGAATATGTCAATTCCGTCATGGGTGGCTCTAGCTAACTTCCATCTACAATTTGTGTGGATTGAGGCTGAATTGAATAGTGAACTGAAACCCACCCAAATATGCAAATTGACAGAGTTTTGAGTAAAGACAGCTTACATGATTAGTCACAGTCAATGGTGAGTGAGAGAGGAAGAGCTAAACTCGCCTATCAACCACACGCTAAAGTTGCAGTCTTGATTCTTGATATATACAAATCTGCTATGGTTGGCAACCGTATCTGCTAAGTTCAAAGTAAGTGCATCCCAGAGCATGTCTTTCTCAGAAATAGTAACTTTTTTTTCTTCATATTGTTAAATTCAATGTTCAGAAATTTGTTCAGTGCGTTCATAGTTGGTAGAGTCTTTATCTACAAGAGTCTAAAAGCATTGTTGCAGTAAGAATTTGTTTCCTAAAATTGACTAGTCAAAGTTTCACCATCCCACTAATTGGGTACGAGGGAAAACTTGAAACATGTTAATGAGACTGACATCTGATAGTTCAAAGAACATTAAATATTGTTTCTCAGTACATCACAAGATTCTTCAGATAATTTTCACAGGGAAAACCAGCCTGGACTGTTTTCTGATATCAATAGCATCATATATGGCATGAACACACAACACACATGCATGGCTAGACCTATCAAACTGATATGAAACTGCACTCATGGACACAAAATGGCATCAGAACCCTTAGTCTATTTGCATAAACGAAAGCTTAAATCAACAACTTAAACTATTTTGAGTTTGGGTATAAAATTAACAAATGCTTTTCACTTTATGGATGATCTAGAAACAAATCTGTATAAAAAAAGTCATCAGTTGATTGAGGGTTGTCCTAAAAATAAGGTCCTCAATCTCTGTTTCTCTCTTTGAGTACAAAAAAAATAACCTCTGTTTCTCTCTCTCTCTCTCTCTCTCTTTTTTTTCCTTTTTCTTTTTGGTTCTTTCTTTGGTGGTGGTGGTGGTGGTGGGGGTGTTAGCTCCTACTTTGCCACAATTCGTCCATGCTCCACATGCCGCATGAAAAATCACTGTCAAGCCAGTTGCTTTCTGCTACGTAGCAATCACCAGCAGAGTTTCCAGCAAACCCTTGTGCTGTAACAGACCCTTGCAGATTGAAGGCTTCTATGTCATAGCTATTGTTGTCAACACAAAAGCCGCCCTTTGCATTATCATTGTTAAGTATGGCATGAAAAGGACTAGGAGGGCATTCTGGAAATTGAGACATCTTTGGCATGTCTATTGGTTCTGAAGGCAAAATGCAGGAACTGGTGCAGAACTCTGACTCTGCGTTCTGCTTTTGGATGCTATCCAAATTGTATATTGTTCCACTCATATTAAGAGCTCCCTGCCCAGGAATTTGTGGAGGTGATGCTGTTGCTGCTGTTAAATGCTGAGAAACATTGTCAAGAGGCTGCAAAGCCATCTGGTTTTGGATTAACATGGGGGAAGAAAACGCTGATTCTCCTCCTATCTTCTGCAGCAATCTTGGCATCCAAAAGCACCTTATAATATTTTGGAATTCTGTGCTGTTGGTGTCAACTTTAAGATGCCGTGCTTGTTTCTGCACCCTTGTTCTCCAGTAGTTCTTGATTTCGTTGTCCGTTCTACCCGGTAAATACTGCGCAATTTTGGACCACCTGCAATCACAAAAATGAATGATAAGAAAGTTCTGCCAAGTTTGAATCAAATCTGCAGAAAAAAGCCCACAACACAACACACCTGTTGCCCCACTTTGAGTGGAGGTCAAGAATCAAGAGCTGTTCTTCTGGACTTAGATTTCCTCGCTTAACATCCGGTTTCAGATAATTCAACCATCTCAGTCTGCAACTCTTGCCAGTTCTCCTTAACCCTGCACCCCAAAAAATAAGAAGAAAAAGAAAAGATCAACAAAGGAAATAATCAGCTTGCAAAAGGGTTAAGGATTATATTAAGTGATTGATTACCTGAACGTTTTGCTAGCAAATTCCATCGGCCTTCACCGTGACGAGCTATGTATTGAATCAGAAGAGTGTCTTCTTCAAGAGTCCATGGCCCTCTCCTTAGCTCACTTTCATCCTCACTGCAACTTGTGCTACTTAAGCTTTTAGTATTACTAGACATATCAGCTAGACTTAAAGCAAACACGGCCAAAGCTCTACCGACTAGCAGGGCTGCAGGGCAGTATATTTATATATAAACCAAAATCTCTCCTTTTATTTTTATTTGATAGAAAAACAAAGAAATTGTATGCAAAGCCAAAAACTTTTCAAATAAGGTGACTTGTTGTAGAAGAACCACATTCTACATGCATGTAGGCTGTAGCTTCCACTGAGCTTCCATTCCCATTTGTCCATCGCTTAAATAAGAAAAAGAAAAGAGAATATTTCACCTTTTCACAGTGAAACGACAATGACCTTCGGAAGTAAACACTAAACAAAATTCTTGGTCAAGGTAAAACATGTTCAATTGTTCATCATTTCAAAACCGTTAATTTAAAATGAGTTGGATTAGGTTATGGATTTCTTAAATAAATAAAAATTATAAAGAGACAAAACTATGTGCTAGTGCCATATAATGATGCTAACACGATAAAAGCAAAATACAAATGAATTTTGGAAACTTTCATGGTAGGTGCAACGCATGTAGCACTCCAAACAAAATGTCGACCTGTTCGATTTCCACACTTTTCATGATAAAATTCATAGATAGTTGTTTGCATATTGAAGGCAGATCAAACTTCTCTTTTGGTCATTAAGATAGGAACCTTGTACATCGTAAGCATATGTATGTCAGCAATAAAATGAAAAAGATTTATTTAGTACGGAAAAACACATGTTTATTTTCGTGGTCGAGACAAGAACAAGTCCAAGTTTCAACAAGGATAGAGAGACCAGACCACTCTGGAGACATGGTAGTTTCTGGTTATGAAAATAAATATATCATTATATTTGTGTTAGAGGGACGTTGTTTAATTGGGATGACCGACACCAGCCGGCCACGTCTCTTAAACCCAAGCACTTAGCTAGAGCGTAGTAAGCTTGTCGTTTGTGCCCAGGACAGTTTTCATAAGATAAGATTTGATTAACGTTAATTATGTTCTCTGAACTCGAACCCAAATGGGTTTGGTGCCTATGTTTCTTTTTGTTGCATTGTTACTAGATAGGCCGAGAAGGGTGGGACATATTAAGATACGATATGTTGGATTGTTACCTAATTTCATAAATTCAATCTCAACACACTAAACGATGGCCAAAATTTTTGTCAATTTTAATTCAAATAATCGAGTTCAATACCACTCACCAAAGGTGTAATGTTTACGGTACAGTCTCAAGAGATGGAATAATAAATATATATTTCGAGCATTTAATAAGATCATGTTCTTGCTTTGACCATCTGCGTAGAGTTTCATTCATTCACTCAATGGAATATCATGCAACCTACCTATTAACGCTACTAATAAGGCCAAAGCAAGAGGTGGAAAGAAAGGGATGAGTTGTCAACCTCTTGAAAACGAAAAGGTTCATATAATTCAAGGTTCATACAGTGTCTTCTTTCTAGATGATCCGCTGCACTGCAAACGCTCAATACGAAACGTGCTTGACTGACCAAAACATTATGGTATTATTATATTACAGCACTCACAAGAGTTGAGCGTATTGGTGTTTGCTTGTTGAGGGGGCGGCATTTTAAAGCTTACTAGGAATCTTAGAACATGAACCTTTTTCTCTTTTTCTCTTGGTTGCTTGCCTGCTGTTGTGAAAAACAGTGGCATTTCCTATGTGGTTTATGTTCCTCCACACACCATCAACTTCGGAGACAGAGATATGAAAAGAGGTAATAAATTGAGAAAAGTCTGCAAAATTTGTTTCCTGTGCAGGCAGCTATATTTGACTCTTCAAAGAAAAATAAACTACTCTCTTCTGTACTCTATATAAATGAGTATATGGTATGGTAGGCAACAGTGGCTTATTTTTCTTGCAGAGTACTTAATGTCTGTCAATTTTTCTTTAGCTTAAGCTATAAATTAAAGTATCTAAAAATGGGCTTATTAAGGAGAGAGATTTTCATGCAACGGGGATACTACTTTTTGCTATTCCTAATGCAATCACACAAATGATAACTTTTCCACATGTCATTGTATTATTGGTCGGAGATAGCAAAACAATGTTATCTGGATAGTTTTTTCTGCTTATTAAGGCTACCTCAACTTTCTTCATGGTATCAGAACAAGGCTTCACGTGTTGGGCCCAATGGCCACATGTGCTCCCACGTCACCCAATAATGTGTTGTCCACGTGTTAGGCTTGAAAGTTCGCCACACGTGTGGGGGGTGTTGAGATTGTTTGTCCCACATTGAAATGTTAAGGGACCTAGCCTGGGTTTATAAGGAGTTGAGCTACTCTCCTCATTGCCAATTGGTTTTGGGATGGAACCTCAACTTTCTTCAGTGCTTACTTGAAGACATATATCTCTTGGCTTATACGCGTTATTTCATATCACTTTGAAAACATAAGCAAACACAATTCGTTTGATTGGTAACAGAGACAATCATAAAGTCCAAGTATCATTTTCAACAACAAAACAAGTATGACTTCAATCTTTTATTTGGAAATTATCAAAGAAGTAAATCAAATCAAGGAATAAAATGGATATGCTCCATTATTAAGAAATAGTAATTAACTTTGGTGGTATCCATTATTAAGAAAATGGATATGCTCTATTTCTTTTTTTCAATATACTAATTGGAGGGATGACAAAATTTCCTAGCAGGAGCGGCCTACTTACTTGTTCTATCTGCAGAAGCTTCAACTCCAGAACAGAAGGCTGCTTAATCATGTGGACATAAATTAATTACAATTAAATTTGGATAGTGAGAAAGAAAGAGATGATGATGTTGACCTCTGTGAGATAGAGATAATCAAGCGTGATCAACGGTGACTGCTTCTGTTGCCAATGTCACATGATGGATGATGATTATATAACAGGAAAACAACAAATTTGATATCTGAATACACACGCAAACATAATAATTACATGTATGTACCTAGCAGGCTATCTGCATCTGCATCTGCATGCAACATATTTTTCAGCAATATTTTTTATCTGCACATGATTCACTACTTAATTCATATTCCTGCCTAACTTGCTTTCGCTTGTGCAAAATTGGTAATTATATAGTGACTGATTCCAGATTCAGCAAATTAACTATTTACATCAAAAAGTTAATTACTTGCAAACATGTTGGTGGCTAGCAATATACTGTTAACTTACAGGAGTTGTTAAGTTTGACCTTGTAGCAGTGACCAAATCTTAAAGATAACAAAAAAGAAGTCATTAGTGATTGCGACTCAGCAGCAATCAGTACTAGTAGAGCTTCAACAAATCAAGGCTAAACATAAACAAGTTTAGATGCAGAAACAGAGCTGAAAACAGACACTGTTTTTGAAAAGGACTCCAGTAGTAGTTTTTTGACTTTTCTTTGGGTTGCATGGGGCCTCCTCTGGCCCAAACAGAGCTGTAAACAGACGCTTGTTGGACTTACCACATATCTAATTAAGATCCTCTAGCCCAAGATAAGCCAAGCTTAGCTCTGTCTTCCTGTCACAAGATTATTCTGGGCTTTAATGTATTGTTCAATCCATTCAAAAACCTATCAGCACAGCTTCACCCAAAAGAAAAGCTTCAAAACTTCTTCAAAACTTTTTCAATCCATTTCTGCTCTGGGCCGAGAGCTTTTCTTTTATTGGATTATATATCTCCTGAAATGGGGCCTGTAAGGGAAGACAGAGCTCTGCCGCGTGCCCACCTCAAAATGCTTTCCTTTCCTCCCTCCCTCATTCATGTTCAGGTAAATTGTTTAATGAGGTTACATGCTCCCTGGTCCCTATAAATACTAGTTCCACACCCGCATTATCCAAAAACCCAATTAAGCTTGTAGCTAGCAGGGGACTGTAAAATACAAAACCCAATGGCTGAATTCACATCAGATATGCAAAGCATTGCACCTTCACTTCCTTTCTTAGATATTGCCCCAAACACAAACATGGAACCAATACACCAGTATACAGATCAATTTAACCCAAATGTCTTGGACTTTTATTCAAGCTTGAATTTCCAGACTTGTATGCCTTTCTCCAATGACAATTACTTCAGCTCTCAGGGACCTGAGTTCCAGGGAAACTTGGTTCAAAACTTTCCAAATTTTTTTGATCACGACAACAAGAGCAACCAGAATGATGAGGCTCCTGCTGTTCAGCACCTTGTAGGAGCTGGGGCTGGAAATGGATTCCAAGAAAGCAAGAAGAGAAGAGCAATGGATGATGTATCAGAGAGCAGCTCTGGAATCTCTACTCCCCCAGTTTCTGAAACTGGAGTTAGGAGGAAAAATGTAATCATTAAAAAACTTTTTCTCTTATTTTGCCACTAAATTTCTCATGTTATCTGAATGAACTGATTTGGTCTGTGTATTTGCAGAGCTCAGGAAGAGGAAAGAGACACAAAAAAAGCAACGAGAAAGAAGATGAGAAACCAAAGGACGTGGTTCATGTCAGAGCCAGAAGAGGCCAAGCCACTGATAGTCACAGTTTAGCAGAAAGGGTAAATTTGCATATGATTCTTTATTCCAAATGAATACTTGTATTAATGACCTAGTTAGTTTTGCTAATTACATGTTCAGTTGTAATATATTATTTGTGTGAATATGGGGTTGATGGTTGCTGCTGCTTTATTCTCAATCAGGTTAGAAGAGGAAAGATCAATGAAAGACTCAGATGCTTGCAAAACATTGTCCCAGGATGCTCTAAGGTAACTTTGATATTTCTCAGTAATCTTTATCTCTTAACTTTAAAAATCTAGAGTCTATTATAATTTTGAACGCATTGATGTGATTACAGACAATGGGAATGGCGGTAATGTTGGACGAAATAATTAATTATGTCCAGTCCTTGCAGAACCAAGTCGAGGTTAGTTTGACAATTAAGGACCAAATTCTTGTTCTTGTTCTTGTTCTTGTTTTTGTTCTTCTCAAGCAACTAATCTTTAGTTTCCTTTTGAATGCAGTTCCTATCTATGAAGCTAACTGCAGCAAGCTCTTTCTACGACTTCAACTCAGAGACAGACGACATGGAAACAATGCAGGTACTGCAATGCCTCTGAAATTCAAACACTAATAATATGTTGGTTGTGTATGTTGCATGATAATGGAATGTTTTATTTTTCATGTTGCAGAGTGCAAAGGTTTACGAGGCAGTAGAGTTGGAGAGAATGAAAAGAGAAGGATATGGAGGATATGGTAGCTTCCACTCAACTTGGCCCCTCTGACTTCAATTTTGGATGAAACTGGATGCCATTCAACACGTGAAGATGCTCCATGTCCTAATACTTGCATCGCATTGCAGCATGTTATTCATTTTTAAAATCCAATTTGTCCCCACTTCATGCTATTGCTATGTCTGGCGCAAGTGGTGGAAAACCAAAACTTGTAACACCCTCACTCATGTGGGCAAATTTATCAACAATAATTTACAGTCAAAATTTTCTCCCTAATTGTGGTTCTATAAATATAATCAGTAATTAACTTTACAGACAATGCATAAATTAGCAAATCCAACTATCTAAATCAGATAGGGTCCAAAGAAACATAAAATCAACTTGATGTAAATGGCGTAAATATCATTTACTTCAATGGGCAAACATAATTCAACTTGGGCCACATTTTTGTATAACTAACAAAAGGGTTATTGGTCGAGTGGGGTTACCACTAGAGGTAGTTGCGGTTTGGTTACTGCAATTTTTCAATGAAATCATGAATCGACTGACATATTGTGGTCTACCACAATTGTCGGTATAGGGAACAACATAACATTACCGAATTTTTTATCAACAAAAAAAAAAAGTATGTTCATGCTTAAATCATATTGCGGTTTGTGTTATACCGCATTATTTGGATATACGGAACCACAACCGCATATTGCGGTCGGTTCTATAAACCTCATGTTGCGATTGATTTTCATGATAGGTCAATTTAGATGTGGTAAAACCTCAGTTGGTATTTGTGGTTTTTGGTCTAAAATGCCAGCCCTAGTTACCACAGTGGTTGTCGCCCGCCCCCCTTCCTCCACAGATTGAGTCATAAACTATAAGTGGTGGATAAGCAGTAAGTTGTCAACTTGATGATTAGTAATAGCGAGTACATGTTGTCCAATGTGTGAACGACATTATTGGCATCAACTTGTAAGTTGTGTATATAAGATCATGGGAAATTTGGAAAACTGAGACACATATATCTTGTGTCTGGTAAGACATTGGAAGTAATTCATTGGCACTTAATGGTTTGAATACGACCCATGAACCAAATTCGCTTTTGTAGTAAGCAGAGACAGATGGCCAAAGTTTCAGAGACTTGAAAGGGACACCTGACAAGCAAAGCAACTTCTTGACTTGAATCCATCATCCAGGGGGGTAATAAGCTGTTGATCCCACAAATAGATGGATACATGAAATCTGATGGAGGTTGCCAATTCATGAGGTGAATGATTGGGGGGGAGAGAGAAGATAGATAGGATAGTTTTTTTCTTTTGTCTTCAAGTTTGTTGTGAGGGGAAGGAAAGGTGTAGATGCATTGCATCCATGAAACTTGGAGGGGCAGAAGACAGCTAGAATGGGCCAGAGCATGGGCAATGTGGGTTCTCCTAGCTTCTCAAAATGATAAGGGCTTTTGAACCTCCTCCATCAAAAGCACTTTCAATTTGTTTCTCTTCTTCATATCCCACTCAAAAACTCAGTCTTTCTTCTTTTCCTTGACCCCCCCTTTTGACCAGGTATATGCTTTGTCTTTTGGAGCATATGCATGAACAAAGAGGAGGAAGAGGACTCAAGGGTCCCATGGTATAGTTAATGGATAGTGCCAAAATATTCCCAAATTGGATTTGATTGAGTAGATCACATATTAGGTGAAGTTGGGAAAGTTGTAACAACTTATATGGGCAAGTTCAAGGACCCTAGAAGAAATACAACTTTGGAATTGGAAGTGGAAGATGTTAGCTTGTCCAAAATGTTAAATCATTATACCCACTATCTACTACATGGCAAAACTAAAAATAAGAAAAAGAAAAAGAAATCTAATGCTCCCTCCCTCTAGTGTCTAGTGTCTAGTGTGTGCATGCATGCATCTCATAGAGTCATAATAACACCTGCAATGCATATAGTCCTCAATGTAATTGGATTCACCACCACCACTCTAATCTAAAATAAATGGTGATGGTTAAGCTAAAACTAAACATACCCCATAATTAATCATTACTTTAATTAGTACCTTGCGTGCAGGGCATCATTGGCTAGGGGAACATGTTGGACAGATTGTATTTCTTTATGCAGAAGAGACTGCAGCGAGAATCCCTGTACTATACCTTACCGAAGAATTGTTTTAGTTTCTGTCAGCCCAGTTGCGACACCCTGATGGATGGATTTAAGTTCTTGTGGAAATGTTAGAAATGGGAGGCCATGCGGGCTTTCTTATTTTTCTTCACAAATGGGCTCTAATTAAAACGGTACATATTCAACCGACGTGGGCTTTTAGTCATTCATGTCTCTCTCCGACAAAACAAACATGAGAAAAATAAGGCCCTTTTTTTTTTCTTTTGAACCAAGAGGATGGCTGTTGTTAATAAATAGTACTAGCAAGCAATGATGGTGGTGATACCAATATAATAAACAATTAATTCCGAATCTGAGCTAAACAAGTTGATGAAGATATGAACATTCGGTAACGAAATTATTCTAATCAATAACACAATGACATATAAATAGCATTATTTTGTTATCCCAATTAATAATACAATGATACTCGAGAATAGCAAAACAATACTGTTACTGTAAGTTTTTTCTTGGTGATGAAGATCAGACCAAGCCCAACAAAAAAATAAGGAATAAGATCACACCAATAATGATGATGTAAATGGTGGCAATTGTCTACTGTTGATCCAACCGATTTGCCACGTGGCAAGTATTTGAAATGACACTTGGCGATCGACTGGTGTAACGCATATACATGCGTCGAGAGCGTTGTATCATGTCTGTGTATTAGGTAAAGAAGAAATTATTTTACTGAACCTACTGAACTATCCACTGCACCGTAGCTCATTCGATCATAACCCGCTACCGCTTTCTCAACGAAGAAAGCTTGAGATGACGAAAACTCCTTTGTCACTGTTGCCGCGAATTCTATTCTTATCTAAGAATCAGAGTTTTCCTTCATGTATAATAATATAATAAACCCCAAACCACGACAGAGTAGTGATGCACCTTCTACGTGGCTGCTCGGACCGGCTCTTCTTTGCTTTAGCAGCACATGTTGTTGTTCTGTTAATTTCGGAAATTGGTGAAGTGGGCTCGTAGATGCTGGTCCAGAACGTGTGGTTTTTGTGAAATGTTGCAGAAATTTGGAGAATTTTATCCTCAAAAGCTGAGATTGCTGAGAAAGGGGCGGGCTTGAATGTGCATTTTGTGGTAAGTGTATTATCTTGTGGCTGGTAGTAGTTGTTGGGTTTAGGTTGTTGCTGAAATTTGATTCTTGGGGTTGATTGATTTTGGTCTTGTGGTAAGTAATCTAGAATCCGTCTGTGGCAAGTTAAAGAAATTGTTAATGCTATTGCTGAAATTTGGTTGTTGGGATTTCGAATAGCAAGTGATTTTGCTGATTAATCTGGTTGTTTATGTGAACTCGCTGGCTCGGTAGATGTTGTAGTTTCTGAAATTCGTTATGAACTTATGATAAGTGAGATCATAATATTGAAAGGCTAAACTTTACTGACTACTATGAAAAGTAATTCAGAGATTGAAAGGCTAAATTGCGTTCTGTGAGGGTTTGACAGTGGTGTTGGTGAAATTGGGGTCGTCAGTTAAATTTAAGAACTTTGACATATATGATAGTGTGTTCCTTTACAGTTTAAATACATAGTGAGGGGGAAAACTAGGGATGGCCATGGCAAGCAAAACCAGAAATATGCTCGAGAATCTTGTAAGAGAAGGATCCTTTAAATGGTTGCTTGGAAATCGAAGCCCTTTTGATGAAGAATTGGAGGAGATGGGAAGGTCTCCCTCGGCCCAGACCAATTGGGTACCAGAGCTATCTCCTATTGCAAACATAGTTGTCCGTAGATGCTCAAAGTAAGTTTGCAGCTGTGCACCTTATACTCTTAACTCTTACAGTATCGCAGTAAAAGTGGATGAAATTTGTGCAAGTTATGTTCTTGGTTCCATTAGAACCTTATTGTTCATTGTTGAGTGCTTCATATGAATATCAGGCTTCATAGCTTACTTGCAAAATATTGTCACTAGTTTCAAGAAATGATTTGCCAATAATAACAAATAAATTATGCAGAATCCTTGGTGTTCCTACAACTGAGCTTTGTGAAGGCTTCAATTCAGAGGCTTCTGAATCTATAAAGCTTCCACTGTGCTATGCAAAGAACTTTTTGGAATATTGCTGCTTTCGAGCACTTGCTCTGTCAACTCAAGAAACAGGTCATCTGGCTGATAGAAAGTTTCGACGCCTGACTTATGACATGATGCTAGCTTGGGAGGCTCCAGCTGCAACAAGCCAACCTATACTAACGGTAAGTTTTAATTGTTTGTGAGTTTTGCTGTTTCCTTTTTCTTAGAAGCTTATATCTTATATGGTTGATATTTTGATATTTAAATCCTGATATATATTGTAAATTGTTGAAATTATAAGTTAGAAAAATCTCATGTTACCCTACCTTTTGCAATTTTCATTAGAAATTTTTTTCCCGGTGCTTGGAGATGTCTTTGCCCATTGTTACTTGCATTGCTTACTAAACACTTAAGTAGGTTAAGTTCCTTAGTATGCATATCAGTGATATGATATCACTATATATACATCTCTGATCTTATGTCAAATTCTTTTTTAATAAGAAGTGTTTTGACTGTTTGGGTAAATAATAGTTTAGGGTTCAAGGGATTATTTAGCACTCTGGTTTATTTTTATTTTTAATGTCTATGTGTCCATTAGGGGCCCACGTCTTTTGTGCAGTTAGATGAGGATTTATCAGTTGGGGTAGAGGCTTTCTCTAGAATAGCTCCAGCAGTTCCTACTATAGCAAACGTCATTATCAGTGAGAACATTTTTGAGGTGCTTACAGCATCAACTGGTGGAAGGCTTCAATTCTCCACATATGACAAGTACCTAAGTGGACTAGAAAGGTACACACTCTTCATTTGAGTTTGCATTTTTCTCCCTCTTTCCCCCTTTAACTTGCTGTTTTCCCATTTTATTTTTTATTTTCTATTTTCTTTTGGGTACCCGTATGCTTCTCCAGGAGCCTTAAGGGTTAAGGGGAGGGAGGGAGAGGAAGGTGGAGGTTGCTATTATCCTTTTTATTTTTCTGAATTTTAGGGATCGACTCTCTCTGAACTGCTGAAATAAGCTATTGTTTAGATGGAAAGCCTCTTTTGTTTGGTGGTTTGCACATACACACATGCACACAGGATAGGCAGTTAGAACTTTATAGATAAAAAGAACAGAAATACAAAAGGAGATAAGCAATCCACCAAGGCAACGTATTCAGTGTTCTATTATAACTGCACTGGCAGAGAGTTGGGGTCATTCTCAAGTGGATGTTAATTGAAATGGATCTTATGATATCCAAGAATGTATTATAACTGCACTGGCAGAGAGTTGGGGTCATTCTCAAGTGGATGTTAATTGAAATGGATCTTATGATAACCAAGAATGCATACTTTGGTTAGTTGATGGAATTCAAATTCCACAAGGGATTCGCTAAAGTTCAAGTTTATGGGATTTCTGGAAGCATATTTCTTGTACCCTGTACCAGACATTCATATCTAGTTCTACAATTTTGAAAATTTTCTCATACAGAGCAATAAGGAAAATGAGGACCCAATCAGAGTCATCACTTCTTTCTGCCATGCGATCACCAAGAGGAGAGAAGATTCTGGAAGTGGATGGAACAGTCACTACCCAACCAGTTCTTGAGCATGTAGGAATTTCTACATGGCCTGGTAGGTTGGGGACTGTTAAATAATTTAAATACTTTTGTTGGCTATTATAAAATCCATGTCATTTCTTCTTATGGTGTTTACTACACATGAAGATGAGTAATTCCAAATTAACTGTGTTTTTATAATCCAGTATTTAGCCTTTTTTTTTAATGTTTATCATTTGTGAGCAGGAAGGTTAATTCTGACAGACCATGCATTTTACTTTGAGGCTCTACGTGTTGTATCTTATGACAAGGCAAAACGATATGATCTATCAGATGACCTAAAACAGGTTGTGAAACCTGAGTTGACTGGTCCATGGGGTACTAGACTTTTTGACAAGGCAGTCTTTTATAAATCAATTTCATTGTAAGTTATGCATTACTTATTTGTTTTGGCGAGATTTTTTTTATTTATAATTATTATTGTTTTAGTATCTAAACTTGTTCTGTGATGTAGCCATTAAAGAAAGTCTTCTTATTAGAACTTGATTATCAACAGTGTTTCTTCTGTAGATCAGAACCAGCTGTAATTGAGTTTCCTGAGCTGAAGGGGCATACTCGTCGTGATTATTGGCTAGCAATCATAAGAGAGATTTTATATGTTCATAGATTTATAAATAATTTCCAGATCAAGGGGGTTAAACAGGATGAAGCTCTTTCAAAGGCTGTGCTTGGAATTCTGCGACTACAGGCCATTCAAGAAATTTGTTCTGCAAATCCTTTACGCTACGAGGCTCTTTTAATGTTCAATCTTTGTGATCAATTACCAGGCGGAGATTTGATACTTGAAACCCTTGCAGATATGTCAACTGTAAGGGAATTAGATAGGTCTAGCAATTCTAAGCCTGGAGGTGGAATGTATTCGATCTCAGCTTTGGATATGATTTCTAACTTGGGCTTTGCATTTGGAACAAGTTCTAATAATCCTGTTGAGGCTGGGCTTGCTGTAGGTGAGATAACTGTGGGAGAAGTTACTATGCTGGAAAGAGCAGTTAAGGAATCTAAAAACAACTATGAAAAAGTGGCGCAAGCACAAGCAACAGTAGATGGAGTCAAAGTGGAAGGAATTGATACAAATTTTGCAGTGATGAAGGTATTTGGTTATATGTTTGATTAGTGATCCCAATTAGTGGACAGAAGACGCCATAGAATCTCTCATTCCCTTTTGAGGCATTGATTGCCATTATTCCTTTAATTTTTACTGTAAATAACCACTTGATGCTTATCACATGCACTTGGGCGATGAATCTGAATCTACTGCACTCTTCTCTCACCTAGCTTATGAGTTGCTCCATTATCTAAATCTATTGAGTACTTGCAGGAGTTACTGTTTCCATTTATGGAACTGGGGAAGTGCCTTCTTTCTTTAGCATTCTGGGAGGATCCAATGAAGTCTTTGGTTTTCTGTGGTGTTTTCACTTACATCATTTGCAGGTAAACGGCCAGTTAAAATTTCACCTTCTTGTTTTACTCAATAATCTTTATCCAGACTTATGCAGGAGCTCTGGGGGCAACATAATTTCGGGTTATCGAAAACAACCCCTAGAAATGCGTTCTGTAAAATGTGTTACTAAATTTCTTAAAAACTCTATGGGATGGGAGAGAAATGTGGCCAGGAGAAAGCGGGGTAGCTAGAGAAGAAAGAGACTATGGACAATGGGGTTTCTTAGGGTTTTGATGCTCTTGTGTTTCTTTCCACACAGCACACTGGTAGGCATCTTTTCCTGTAGGCTTACAAAGGTGTGTATTTCAGGGGATGGCTGAGCTATGCCTTTGCACTGATGCTTGTCTTTATTGCGGTCTTCATGGCCCTCACCCGATATTTTAGCCAAGGGAAGTCTATTCATGAGGTTAAGGTGTTAGCACCTCCGGCAATGAATACAATGGAACAGCTTTTGGCTGTTCAGAATGCAATTTCCCAAGCTGAAGGGATCATCCAGGATGGGAATGTTGTTCTTCTCAAGATACGCGCCTTGCTACTGTCCCTTTTTCCTCAGGTTCCTCTCTCTTTTTGGCCTTGCTTGGTTCCTCCACCTTTCTACTATGGCTAATATATTTACTATAAACACATCGACTTTGGTTAGTATCATTATGTATGCTCGTAGTAAATTCTATTGCTACATTTGACCTTTTGGTAAAATGCTCATACTTGGTTGGGTTTTTGTGTAATGGTGATCAGGCAAGCGAAAAATTTGCGGTAGCTCTTGTAGTTGCAGCTTTGACTCTAGCCTTCGTGCCCAGTAGATATGTTTTTCTATTAATGTTTTTGGAGATGTTCACGAGGTATTCGCCTATGAGAAGAGCTAGCACGGAGAGATGGATGAGAAGATTGCGAGAGTGGTGGTTCAGCATACCCGCGGCTCCCGTTATACTTGAAAGAGAAAAGGAAGAGAAAAAGAAGAAATGATGCTGTAATTATTTGTATTGTATGTTTATGTAACGGTTTCTGTGTCACATAGAGAGAAGTGAGTGTATATCTTAACAAGGAAGGAAGTCGAAATAAACTCATGAAATTTAAGAAAATGGAAAAAAATAAAAAGGTTTGGTTTATATCCCTGCTGTTCTGTATAAAGTTGTTTATAATTAGAATCCTGATCAGAAAATGCAAATGTTGGTAAACTTATCTCTTCTGTCCATTTTATTCTTAATTTTAATTAGGAACTGCTTCTACTCCGGCCTTCAGTACTGGGAAGGAAGGATAAATCGGAGAGCTGCTGCTGCTGCAACTGTTCAATAATCTAACAAATTCTTTATCTTTGCCTGTTTCGTAAGTCAATCCATTTCATTTGCATGAACAGAAATTCAAAAGGAAAGAATGAAGCAAAGAGACAGGAACCAA